AGGGAGGGGAGAGAAGGGGAGGAGAGGGGAGAGTAACAGGGAGGAGGGAGAGGGAGAGGGGGAAGCGGGAGGGGATAGAGGGGACAGCAGATTAATGAGAGGGAAATGAAGGTAGTTTAGGGAGGGAGGCAAAGGAGGGGAGGGGAGAGTAGGGAGAGGGGAGAATAGGATGGGGAGGGGGGAATGGGGAGGGAAGGGGAGAATAAGAGGGAGAAGGGAGGGGAGTACGGATATATGAGAGGGAAGAGGAGGTGGTTTAGGGAGGGAGGCAAAAGAGAAGTGAGAGTAGGGAGAGGGAAAAATAAGAGGGAGAGGAGAGGGAGAGGAGAGGGAGAGGAGAGAGAGAGGAGAGAGAGAGAGAGAGGGGGAGAGAGAGAGAGAAGATGAGGGAGGGGGTGGGTGAAGGAGGATGAATTGCTGACCTTACTTGAACGAACAGTCAGACGTGATGTTTTTCTACTGTACTTTACTCCGCAGTGTGGAGGGGAACTGGCCACCCTACCACAATATGTCAAGTTGTCTCACTAACTTAAGGCAATCCCCAAAGTCCGGATCGGATGCGGGAACAACTTTTTCTTTACTTTACTTCACAAACTGGTGGCCGGGGTTTCAAATCCCAAGCCATGCCTAGCTTGGCTTTACAATTCTGCATTATTTGCCCCGAATTTTCCATCCTGAAGAAAAACGCTGCCAGTCGACACTGCATTCGACGACCGGCCGTTGTCGAGGGAAAAGGTGTCATTTGAGACCGAGGGTCGTCTTGAAAAAAAAGTAAAGTTGTCATCTTAGATAGATGGTCCTCTTGAAAAAAAAAAGTATAGTTGTTCCTGCATCCGATCCGGACATCGGGGATTGTCTTGTTAGTGGGACAACTTCCTGGGTCTTCGGCATATTGTGGTAGGGTGGTCTCTTCCTTTCCACGCCGCCTTTACTTCCACAACTCGAAGTCAGGTACCCATTACTGCTGGGTGGGCATGAGAGGTGGGGGGGGGGTGGAATCAATGTGCCAACCGAGGCTCGAACCTGGACTTTGCGCTTCGGAGATGAGAGCATTTGAATAGTGTCGTTATAATGTCTTTTAAAACACGGAAGGGGAGAAATGTGAAATAATTGTTTGTACAAGTGATTGCTTTAGAAAGATGATCTTTAAAACCATACGGGGTGCCCACTACAGCTAGGATCGGCCGATCGGGCTGATCGCCCGACTCGATCACCTCAAAAACAAACGTGTTTGTTTTCAGTTTCAGGCGATCGAGTCGGGCGATTGCCCCGACCCAGCCGTAGTGGGCACCCCGTATGAGAAATAGATCAGCAAACCCTGAATCTAAGATCAGAGTCTACTGACAGACATCTAGACATAGCTCATAACACATGAGTGATAGCCTGTGCTGAAATAAAAGGAGCGAATCATTGTCTAAACACCTATAGAAAGGGAAAATATGTTGGTGAATCACACTAATAGAAGATACTTATTATAAACACAAAATGAACCATGTGTTTACTTCGAAATTGATTGCTCGCCAATTTGAGACACATCTGCTGAATGCAGTAAATTTGACAAAACGAAAAGCATTTCAGACCCGGCAATTTAAACGCACGTTTCAAATGTAGCGTTTTGGCCTATAGATCTAAATGCTAATCTTTCAGTCTTTGTCTTTAAGCTTAATTTTTTTTAAATGTCAACAGTTGTAGAAAAAGACGGTACGTTTGACTGTACTTAAATAGTATAGCATCATGCGTGTTTAACTGGAAGAAGTAATGTTCCATTCTAAGGAATTACTTTTTATGGGGGGTGGGGGGGGGGGTAACGTTTACTCTTTCATAATGGCGAATGAAAACGTTCTTCCTTAAAACATTAAATTAATTACACTCTGATACTGGCGAACAAACAAGGCTTCCAAATAAACGTTTACCCTATAAATCTGGCGAATAAACGATATAATACCGGCAGATACAAACAGCGGTAAAAGTAAAGTATAGCGCCTTTTTCACCTGTTTGACCTAGAGAATCTAGTTCGCAGCATGCGTGGCATCGTAGAGGTCACACTGGGGTTGCAGGAAACAGCAGAATGTGTGTGTGTGTTTGTGTGTGTGTTTGTGTGTGTTTTTGTGTGTGTATGTGTGTGTGTTTGTGTGTGTCTGTGTAAATGTGTGTGTGTGAAAGGGGGTATACTTTACTTTTACAAAAAATAAGAAATAACCAAGCCAAATGATCAAAACAGTAAATAAAAGTTTTTCATTTTTCTACTTAATCACCCTCAATACTTACGATCTATTTGACTACGCTCGTGTTACCACTGCAATAAAATAAACAGCAAAGGGATTGCAAAACACAGCAGACAACATGATGTTAGAAGCAGACGACTCGATGAGGTCTTCAAATGAAGTGTGCAGTTAAAAAACAACAAAAACAACACCTCTCTACATAACACTGTCCCCGCGGTTTTATGCAATAAAAAATTCTGAAATTATGCAAACTGAACCCAAAAATGTGAAATTATACGATGCAGTTCATCTTAAACAAAGAATGACAAAGGAAAGCAATCAGAAATTATGCAAAAACAGTCAAATTTTGCTAAATTATGCGGGGTGCATAAAACCCCGGGAACAGAATTAACAACAACAGTGTTGTAAAAGCATCAGAGCCCGGCCCCATCCCCCTTCAGAATTACGATATGGTTCCTTTTCCTGTTCGTGCGGTCTTGAACATTGGCCGGGCTCATAGAGATAACGTCTACATACCTCATTGACCACTTCAGAACTATCCTTGCCTCCTTCCCCAACACACACACACACACACACACACACACACACACACACACACACACACACACAC